TTGTAGTGCGTATTTAATGTGGCGCTGTACTCTGATGTTGTAGGAGACAACATACATTAAAAGGAGGCGTTGGAAAGCTGAAATTAGCATAAAATTCGCTTGAAAAGATTCAACTTCTAACTAAAACTGCAGATGTTCAGAATATTATATGAAATTCTCTTATAATAAATATTAAAAGTAATAACTATGAAAAAATACTTGAAACTTTGTAGTAGAACGAAGCTAAATGGAGAGTACAACTATAAGAATCATATATTCATTTCACAGAATGAAAAGCCCTGCTAGAATCATTAGAATCAAAATGTTTAGTAACAATCATTCAAAAAATTACTAAATGTATGCTTCTCAATTCTCCCATGGAGAAGAAAAATGTTCCTTCGTGGAATAAATAAAAGGTGACCTTAGCAAATTAAAATAATAAAACAGTTAATAATGAAAATTTATTTTAAAAAAAATTTCTGTTATAACGCTTCTATTTAATTAACATTTATTTAAAGTTGCGAATTTTGATGTGCGTGACGTCACATTCTCAAACTCCGCCCCTCCCCCCCCGGGTGCGTGACGTCACATTTCTCAAACTCCGCCCCTCCCCCCCCCGGGTGCGTGACGTCACATTTCTCAAACCCCGCCCCTCCCCCCCCCGGGTGCGTGACGTCAAGTTCTCAAACCCCGCCCCTCCCCCCCGGTGCGTGACGTCATTTACGTGCTCACGATTCCTGCGCGCCCATTGGCTGCCAAATTGGGCCAATCAGCGAGCTCCTTTTCCAACGCGTTCACCGATGGACGCACGCAATTCGCGGTTCGTCAAGCCTCAGGCGAAACTCGACGCCACCCTGCACAGAGTTGTTTAGACGAGCCGCAAACAACGCCCGCGCACAAACAACAACAACAATAATAATAACAGTGTTGAAAGGCGAATGTCGTCACGACTACTCGAGAAGAACGGCCTTTCCCCCCCCCCTCCCCCCGGTGAGCGGGCGGAGCTCGGCCGCCTTGGGTGCGTCTCCCTCGGCAGGGGCTTCCAGGCAAGCGGGGGGGTGCGGGGTTGGGGCTTCGGCCTTCTCTGAGAAGCGCACGCGAGAGGAATTTTGTTTGTTTTTACGCAGCGGGGCAAACTCGTAACAATAAAAACACGTAAATGTTTAGTATCTTTTTTTTCGATTTAAAGCTTCTTTCGTGACTGCAGGGATTCATATTGTTGGTTCTTTCGGTAAAGTCATCACGTAGAAGGAAAATAATAAAATAATAAAAATTAAACAATAAAATAAAATTCTCACGACGTTTCGGCCACAACGCAAGCAGCCGTCCTCAGGTGAAGACAGGTCTGTCGGAAAGACAGCGTCTGTTCTTCACCTGAGGACGGCTGCTTGTGTTGTGGCCGAAACGTCGTGAGAATTATATTTTACTATGTTTTATTTTTATTATTTTCCTTCTACGTGACTTTACCGAAAGAACCAAGAAGATGTTTAGTATCTTGTGGGTGTGTGTTTAGGTTGTGTTTGCAGCGCTGTTCTGTTTATTAATGGGTGGCGGTATTTTATTTAGTTTAACCTGGAGATACAACAGTAGTCACACTTGCAAACAGTGGCACGGGTCGTCAAATACAATTTATATTTTAAAAACCTCAAAATGTATGGACACCATACAGCAGTACTGGGGACGACTGCTTGTGTTGTGATCGAAACGTCGTACACTTTTATTTTATTCCTACGTGACTTTACCGAAAGAACTAAAGAGTATGGATTCATAATCTTGGTTCTTTCGGTAAAGTCACGTTGAAGGGAAATAATAAAATAACAAAAATATAAAACAATAAAAATCCTCACGACGTTTCGACTGCAACACAAGCGATCGTCATCAGGTGTGAAATCCACAGCAAGAAAATTTGAAAAAGTGGCGGTGTTTTTAAATCCTTTATATTAAGTTCGCTTGCTTGCGCGCTTACGACCGTGCAAATCTTTCGGTCGTTTTTTAACCCACTTCCCGTGATCCAATCGAGCTGACATTTTGCACATAGACTCGTTGTGCGAGACAATTAATGTTCGTGAAAATGTTTTTTTCCAAAATTTTACACTGTTTAGGGAAAAATAAATATTTAATTACCAATTGCTTAATGGTGGCAGACAATCATCTGACCCATAGGTGGCAGCCATCTCAAGCCAGAGGATGAGAGGACTTTAGCCGCCACGCACATAAAGGATTTATAGTGAAAAACTTTGTTTTTACGGGTTAATTTTTCCTAACTTTTTTCCTATTTTCTTGCTGTGGATTTCACACCTGATGACGACTGCTTGTGTTGCAGTCGAAACGTGACTTTACCGAAAGAACCAAAGAGTAAAGCTCTCTTCTAGTCAATCAACCCACTACATTTGCACATTCCTGCCGCCATGTCCTGTATTCGCCAATAAGCCTCATATCAGGTGAAATAAAGTCTCGAGTCTGACCTGAGTTGTATTCCCAAGCACAGTTAAACACGAGTGGCGAGTGAGATCTGAACAAGTCCTTCGCAAACCCCCGTTGACCAAGTGTAGTGATCACCAATGACCATCACAGCGTGGGTTTGAGCGGTTTCATCCAACACTGGATTGACAAATGGCAACATTATTTTCACGTATTTATATTGTATTAATTTCAATGGTATACTCTACGGAAAGACGGAAAGTGCTTTCTGCAACACTGCGGTGAAAGCGAATTCATACCCTTTATTTCTTGCCAGGAGCTTGAATCTATGCATATTCAAACAATAGTTGACTGACGGTTTAAGCTGTACAGTGATACCTCGGTTCACGAACGCTTCTGTTCACGAACAACTCGGTTCACGAACAGAAAATTTCATAAAAATATGCTCCGGTTCACGAACTCCGCTTCGGTTCACGAACAGGAGCCGTGGCCATTTTTATGCTAATTCCAGGCTGTCACATGGTCGTGACTTCCTGTAGGAAGATCGTGGAGAGAAGCAGAGACACAGAAAGAAGTACTGTGAGTACTGTGAAGACACTTTCAGTGACTTTTAGATTTTTGGTGTGCTTTTTAGCACATACAGTACAGTACTACTGTACTGTACAATACTGTACTTACTGTAATGTACAGTTCACCCGTTTGAGTGCTTACTGTCTCCCACCCGCCTTCCACTTGCCTTCCTCCATGCCAGAAGTCATCTCAAGCAAGGTTAGTGTTCTCTCTTTATACATTACTATACTGTACAGTACTAATGTGTATTGTCATTTGTTTATATTTTTGTGCTTCAAAAACCAAAAAAAAAGGTCAGAACGGATTAACCGGATTTACATTGAACCCTGTGGGGAAATGTGCCTCGGTTCACGACCAATTCGGTTCGCGACCAGAGTCAGTTCACGAATTAAGTTCGTGAACCGAGGTATCACTGTAGTATGAAATTTAGATCAATGAAAAACCCATGGTTGTGTGTCAGTAAAACATTGCTGGAACGGTAAAACACTTTTTACAACAGCACACGGTTTATTTCCTATTTGTAACTAACACAATGTGGTGTGGCCCCTTGTCAGTGTTGGTAATGTTTGAGTTGCAGAGTCGTGAGAATGCTGATTTGGAATGTGTCTCATTCTGTGAAACGCAGCAGAGAGAAAGCGGGTCTCACACCGAGCAAAGACAAAGTCGTGGTGCACTGTGTGGCTAAAAGACGAAGTGGGCGTGCAGACATTCTCGTGAGGCAACGGATTCCCATTCGTGTGGAGACTTTAAATTCATGGATCCTCCTGATGATTGCAAAGAGCTCCCTTCGCAAGTCTTTATCGCAGATGTCGTGGCGAAGAAGCTCGGTTTATCAGGCAACAGCTGCGACGCGCCGGAGGTAAACGAACTTTGTTTTCATAGTCCAGTACAGGATGCAGAGGTCGCAAACGGGTTTTGATTCCTTACCCGTACCCGGCCGCACCAGGGTCGCAAATGGGTACCCGTACCCGGCCAGGTACAGGTAGCCGTATCCTACCCGTACCCTACCCGAAATGAGTGACAAACGGTTACTCACGGTTACTCACCAGTGACTCACGGCCTACCCGTACCAGACGCACCAGGGTCGTAAACGGGTACCCGTACCCGGCCGGGTACGGGTAGCCGGGTATCGGGTAGGGTAGCCGGGTATCGGGTACCCGGTTGCAACCTCTGACAGGATGATCCATTCATAGATACAGCACTAAAGCCATACAAATATGTGGAACAATATCGAGAAAGCTATTTCAAAGCCTCTACACGTCCATCACCTATAACAATCCACTCGTTACATGTGTAACTTCGTGCATTGCTTTCCCAACAATCAGTCACCTGTGGAGAGGAAGTACTGTAATAGGGTCGTGAAAAACCAGGGCCCCTTAACATCGCCGCACCCCACCACACACTCGCAACTTATTTGGATTGGAAGTTGTCCGCGAGAGTCATTGCTGATGCGAATTCGTTGTTTCCCTTTGAAGTGTGATGGTGAGGACAGAAGCGATGCCATGCGTGGGGAATGTGACAGTGTTGCAGGAGACATCTCACTCGTGGATGTACTACTTGAAAAACAGCACAACCAAGACAATTGTTCACAGACGTTCAATCTTACTCAGAAAGACCCAGAACCACAAAAGTGGCTTCCCAAGAAGCTTACGCAACACTCGGCTTTGTCTTGTGGGACTATATTGGGCTGTGACAATACTGGTCAAATGAAAACACACAATGTGGAACAATTGCTGCCTCGTGACTGGAATAAGAATACACTAAAGAGAACAGAATATAATCCTCTACACATCGCACAAAATGTACAGACTGAGCCGCATCACGGTTTTTACGCAAATATTGTAGGAAACGACATTCGGAGCTCGTCGAGAGGCAATTCTCAAAATGCAAAACTTCCAAAGCTCGATGGAACCATTCGCACGTTAACGTCTAATTCTCAAGCTGACGCACAAACAGGTTGCTTTCATTCGGAGGATGAGATAAAATTGGCTGATATCTTAACGGACGATTTAGAATGTACTATTACCACCAGAAAACCGCCAAAACCCACTTGTGCTTCTGCACTTTCGGAAGCAAATGACTCAAATGCTGCCTTTAGTGAAGAGGCTGACCACATCGCTCGCGGAAGAGCCGACGGTTCTTCAACAGCAAATGCGCTTGGAGTGGAAAATATAAAAGTAGCCGCAGATGTAGCCAACAAGGGCACGAGCATAAGAGATCGCATCAAGAAAACGCTCGTGGCAAACGCGTGGGCGGCAGCTACCCGCGTGGTCTCGCGCACCAGGCACCTGCAGGAGTCTGCGCTGTCGCACGAGAGGCAGATCGCCACGGAGACTTGTGCTGATGACAGCCAGTTTGAGATTGGGCCTTTCTATGGGCTTCCCACGAAGGTGCACAGCCTTCTGCAACAACAGCGTGGCATTAAAGAGCTCTACGGTAATGTGTGCTGTTTTTTACACTCGGATATTTACGCGAAACTGTCTCTCGGTTTTTTTTCATGCCAACATATCTTTTTTTTTCTCTCGTGGGAGAAATGGTAATTGAATAGTATTTGGCGGACTTACTCTTTGGTTCTTTCGGTAAAGTCACGTAGAAAGAGAAAATAATGAATTAAATACTAGCAAACGACATTTCGATTGCAACACAAGCAATCGTCATCAGGTACAAATGAAAGAGAAAACAAAGCCTAGTAAACTTAGAAATATAATGCAATACAACACAGATAGTCGGCTAACATAACGGTCAACACCCTACCTGGATTGATTACGCTCTTCCAAAGATTGCTAAATTTAAGAGAGAGATTAAACAGAACAGGAGACACACAGACAGACACATAAGCAGAGAGAGACAACACAGAGACACACAGAGAGAGACAAACAACATAGGCACACAGACACAGAGACACACAATATAGACACACAGACAGACAAATAAGCAGAGAGAGACAACACAGAGACACAGAGAGACACAACATAGGTGTGGGGGTCGCTAGCCCCCGAGATCCCTCCCTCGATAATGTTAACGGCCGGGCTAGCATCATCAATCGCCCCCCCGCTGCTAAGCGAACCGCTGCTAAGTTCCTCACCCATGGGGTGGGAGCCGTCGCCCGAGGATTCCACTCCACCGCGGGTCCGCGTAGCAGGCATGGTTAATTACGTACGCGCACACCCACACACACAGCTCCGTACGGCACTCACTCTTGCGCTTCTCTGCGCCGCGCTGGCCGCTCACGTTACAATCGCGCACCTGGGGTACGCCGATTTCGCACGATGAGAGCTTACGCCTACACCGTACTACACGCGTTCACACTTATAACACGTAACGAGCACACGCAAGCGGGGCACACGCCGACACAACGACTAAAGTCGCCGCCGCCGTGCGCGCGAGATAAACCGTACAACAATGCGCAGCCGATTACGCTATGATCGCGCACCTGGGGGACGCCGATTACGCACGCTGCGAGCTTACGCACACACAGTACCACACGCGTTCCCACACGCTCACACTGCACGACAAGATCACGCGAGACCACGCTTCGCTATTAATGATTTATTACCTGATAACTAATGTTGAATTAGTGAGTCGACGAGGCTGGCCTATTCCACTAAACCGGCACCTATTCCCTATTTATCGGCTATGATTCTAATTCCCCTTCTTACTCACTGTTAAGTGTCCACGGCGGTCCGCTGATCCTTGTGTTAACCGCGTGCCTCGGTGCGTCGCACGGACGTCCGGGTCGCTGGCTCGAGCTGCGTCTGGTCGCCTGGCGCTGGAGTAAGAGAGCGATTTCCCCTCTGCGCTCCTCTATTTATCCTCCCTACCTCCCAAAGGGGATGCTGCGCTGAACAATGGGCTCGTGCACCCCAAGCCCGCGCACGGCAGTCCCCAGGCGCTGTTGATATGCTAATCAGTGTGCTGCGTGCAAGGCGTAAATCCTAATTACTCCCTTACCCTTCCTACCAATGGGGCTTGCGCGCTCAAGCGCAATTATCCCAACCCTCCATGACTATGCGCAACAGCCCCTGTGACCCCGCTATTCATGCTGTCCCGTGCCTCCCCTGCTCGCCCCGTCGACCCGTGGGAGTGTGTGTGGGGGGAAATGCGCCTCAACCGCGGTGGCCGAATGCCCCACGCCACGACCTACCATATTAAGGCCGGCCGCAGCGCCGCGGTGCCACGTAGCACGGGGAGGTCATCCAATTCCCTGATCGCCGGAAACCGTGAGAATTAATCCCGATAAGGGTCTCTCGGATAAAAACCGGTCGATCAGGTGACCTTCCCTTCCAGCTCTATGGGGGGGGGGGAATGCGTGCGGGTGTGTGCTTATGTGGGGCGGGTGATGGGGGGCAGTGCGGTGGGGGAAGCCGGGCGGCTCCCTGGTTCGGCAGAGCGGCCCCGTCGTTGTGGCACCACATAGCCCCCCGGGGTGCCAGTCCCCGTCCCGGGTTGACTGGAGCACCTCGCCTGGGTTGCCCCCACGAGGTATCGCCGCGGGGTCCGCGGGATTCGCCCGGCCCTTGTGGCTGGCCTCGGGGGTGGCGGCTCCGTCTCCTGGGGCTCCGGCGGTGGTCTCCTCCTCCATTCCAACGGCTCCCCTCGGCCTCTGGCACCTGCGGGCTGGGGAACAAACTCAGAGGCGGTGGGGTTTAAGGGTCGCCGTCCTCGTCGCCCCCGGCCCCGCCCGGGGCCCCTCGGAGCCCGGGGCTCCGTGGGGCCCATGTACTGCGCGAGGCCCCCGGGCACGGGGGGTGGGGGGGTTTCGGGGTACTTGGACGGCGGGGCTCCCCCCCTCGGGGGCTGCTCGCCACGGCTTCAGTCGGCGGATGTTGACCACCATCTCCCGGCCCCTCTCTCCTCCCTGAATCAGCACCGTCCATGGTGAGATCTGCCGTCTCACAATCCAGGGTCCTCGCCAGTAGGTGGTCAGCTTCCCCACCTGTCCGGCACCGACGCGGGGAGTGTACAGCCACACCTCGGAGCCCGCAGTGTAGAAGGGGGGCTCCATACGGGGTCGGGCGCCCTGCTCTTGCCGCTGGTGCGCGGCCTCTCCGTGCGGGCAGGCTCGGCCCCTGGCCCCTCGCAGGGTCTCCAGCAAGTGCTCCACGGGGTGGCTCCCTTCCTCCCGTTGCGGCGGAGGAACACCGAACAGCAGATCTGCGGGCAGGCGAGACTCGCGACCAAACATCATTAGGAACGGGGTCTGTCCTGTAGAGGTGTGAACGGCGGTGGTGTAGGCGAACAGGGCATAGGGAAGGTGTTCGTCCCAGTCCTGTTGATTCGCGGCCGCCATGCGTTTAAGCTTCCCGGCCAGAGTCTGGTTCATCCTCTCTACCATCCCGTTCGCCTGGGGGTGATACGCCGTGGTTCGGTCCTTCTGGATCCCGAACTCTCGGCACAGCGCCTGAAATAATTCGGCCTCGAATTCACTACCCTGGTCGGTAATGACTCGTTCGGGGATCCCGCACTTAAGTACATAGTTTTCCACGAAGGCCCGGGCCACTACAAGGGCTGTTTTATCTGGGATAGCCACCGCCACGGGGTAGCGGGTGAAGTATTCCACCGCTACGAGAATATATCGGTTGCCCCGGTGGGATCGTGGAAAGGGCCCCTGCAGGTCGATTCCGACCAACTGATTCGTCCGACTGACTCGGAACGGCCTCAGGGGTACCTGGTACCTCGCCGGCTTTTGCCCACACTGCTGACAGGCCCGGCAGCCCTGCACCCAGGCGGCCACATCTTGTGCCATATTTGGGCCAGAGATACTGGCGACGCAGGGTCTCCCGGGTGCGCCGTTCCCCATCATGGCCCCCGAGTGGGTGGTCATGCACCAGCCGTAGCAGCTGGGGTCGCACCTGGGCAGGAACACAGATGCCCCCCGGCTGGCCGGCCTCGGTTAACTCCCGTACCACTCCGTTCCGCACACACAACCGGGCATACAAACCGCTCCAGGGTCCTGGTAGGGCGCTCTTTTCCTCCCGCAGTGCCGCCTCCACTGCCGCCAGATCCGGATCTCGCTGCTGGGTCTGTCTCAGCTGCTCGTCGTTTAGGCCCGGGAAGGCGCAGCCGACGTCCTCCTGGATCCGTCCGATCGGGTCCCGAGCCGCGGGTCCCGCGCTTGCCGGGCGGTCGACGGGATCCTCAGTGCCACCTGTGAGGGTTTCTGTGGCGCACACTGCACTCTCCCTCGCTGGGGGGGGGGTCAGTGGCCGCGGCCTCTCGGGGGTCCGTTGCCTGCCGGCAGCGTCCCGCCGTGAAACACGGGCAGGCCTCCTCCGCCCTCGTCTCGGCGTACACCGTGGGTCGCCTCGACAAGGCGTCCGCGTTTGCATGCGTCCGGCCAGCCCGATACTCGATTTGCAGGTTGTACTCCTGCAACTGCGCCAACCACCGGGCCATCTGCCCCCGCGGCTCCTTGAATGTAAGAAGAAACTGCAGAGCATAATGGTCAGTGCGTACGCGACATCTCCTGCCGTACAAATACGGTCGGAACTGTTTGCATGCGAAAATCACGGCGTACAACTCTTGGCGGGTCACGCAATAGTTCAGCTCGGCCCCACTCAAGGTCCGGCTGGCGTACGCGATGACTCGTTCCGCCCATCCTGTACCTGTGACAACACCGCGCCCAGCCCGCTGCTGCAGGCGTCGGTGTCCAAAATAAAATCGGTGGTAAAATCGGGGAAAGCGAGGGTGGGGCGTGGGTGAGGTGGTCTTTTGAGAGTGGTGAAGGCCGTCTGGCAGGCCCCCGTCCACTGGTAGGGGTGCTTAGGGGAGGTGAGTTGGGTGAGGGGGCGTGCAATCTCGCTGAATCCCTTTACAAATCGACGATAATAGGTGGCGAGCCCCAAAAATGATCTGATCTCCGTCAGGTTCCTTGGCCGTGGCCACTCCACTACGTGCGCGCAATTTGTGGGGGTCGCTAGCCCCCGAGATCTCTCCCTCGATAATGTTAACGGCCGGGCTAGCATCATCAATCGCCCCCCCGCTGCTAAGCGAACCGCTGCTAAGTTCCTCACCCATGGGGTGGGAGCCGTCGCCCGAGGATTCCACTCCACCGCGGGTCCGCGTAGCAGGCATGGTTAATTACGTACGCGCACACCCACACACACAGCTCCGTACGGCACTCACTCTTGCGCTTCTCTGCGCCGCGCTGGCCGCTCACGTTACAATCGCGCACCTGGGGTACGCCGATTTCGCACGACGAGAGCTTACGCCTACACCGTACTACACGCGTTCACACTTATAACACGTAACGAGCACACGCAAGCGGGGCACACGCCGACCAACGACTAAAGTCGCCGCCGCCGTGCGCGCGAGATAAACCGTACAACAATGCGCAGCCGATTACGCTATGATCGCGCACCTGGGGGACAGCCGATTACGCACGCTGCGAGCTTACGCACACACAGTACACAACGCGTTCCCACACGCTCACACTGCACGACAAGATCACGCGAGACCACGCTTCGCTATTAATGATTTATTACCTGATAACTAATGTTGAATTAGTGAGTCGACGAGGCTGGCCTATTCCACTAAACCGGCACCTATTCCCTATTATTCGGCTATGATTCTAATTCCCCTTCTTACTCACTGTTAAGTGTCCACGGCGGTCCGCTGATCCTTGTGTTAACCGCGTGCCTCGGTGCGTCGCACGGACGTCCGGGTCGCTGGCTCGAGCTGCGTCTGGTCGCCTGGCGCTGGAGTAAGAGAGCGATTTCCCCTCTGCGCTCCTCTATTTATCCTCCCTACCTCCCAAAGGGGATGCTGCGCTGAACAATGGGCTCGTGCACCCCAAGCCCGCGCACGGCAGTCCCCAGGCGCTGTTGATATGCTAATCAGTGTGCTGCGTGCAAGGCGTAAATCCTAATTACTCCCTTACCCTTCCTACCAATGGGGCTTGCGCGCTCAAGCGCAATTATCCCAACCCTCCATGACTATGCGCAACAGCCCCTGTGACCCCGCTATTCATGCTGTCCCGTGCCTCCCCGGCTCGCCCCGTCGACCCGTGGGAGTGTGTGTGGGGGGAAATGCGCCTCAACCCGCGGTGGCCGAATGCCCCACGCCACGACCTACCATATTAAGGCCGGCCGCAGCGCCGCGGTGCCACGTAGCACGGGAGGTCATCCAATTCCCTGATCGCGCGGAAACCGTGAGAATTAATCCCGATAAGGGTCTCTCGGATAAAAACCGGTCGATCAGGTGACCTTCCTTCCAGCTCTATGGGGGGGGGGGAATGCGTGCGGGTGTGTGCTTATGTGGGGCGGGTGATGGGGGGCAGTGCGGTGGGGGAAGCCGGGCGGCTCCCTGGTTCGGCAGAGCGGCCCGTCGTTGTGGCACCACATAGGCACACAGAGAAACGACGCCTCTGTGTCGAGGCCTTAGATAGAGAGGAGGGGGTAGAGAGAGAGGGGGTGGGGGGTACAGAGAGAGGGGGGGCAAAGAGTGAGGGGGGCAGAGAGGGAGGGGGGGTTGATAAATTAATTTTTAGTACATGGTGGAATTTTGCTAATGTATTTTACCAATTTGTTTTTGTTATAACAGCATATCACTGCTTATTTGATTCGTACTGTAAACGTTTACACATCACCAGTGTCGTGATGTTAGCTGTCAAGCCTAATCCAATTTCTCACACATTAGGTGATGGTTGAAACATTTTTGTCGTCCTGCACGCAAGTTAATCATTTTAATCGGCGTTTTTGTTCTCTTAACGTGTAATAAGCCACCCGTTTGAAAAAAAATTAACCCGTAAAAACAAAGTTTTTCACTATAAATCCTTTATATGCATGGCGGCTAGAGTCCTCTCGTCCTCTGGCTTGAGATGGCTGCCACCTATCGGTCAGATGATTGCCTGCCACCATTAAGCAATTGGTAATTAAATATAATTTATTTTTTCCTAAAAAGTGTAAAAGTTAGGAAAAAAAATTTAACGAGAATAAATTGTCACGCACAACGAGTCTGTGTGCAAAATGTCAGCTCGATTGGATCACGGGAAGTGGGTTAAAAAACGACCGAAAGATTTGCACGGTCGTAAGCGCGCAAGCAAGCACGCAAGCACGCAAGCGAACTTAATATAAAGGATTTAATTACAATTGACACATTCACGTGTTTCAGATTCTGCCGTGCATTTAATCATTCTCTTTTTATATTTGTGTCGACACATGACGCCGCAAAGCCTGGCAGCACGACTGCTTGTCCCTGGACTCCGTGAGACGAGGGAAGAATCTGATTTACTCTTTACCGACAAGTGGCGGCAAGACGCTCGTGGCAGAGATCCTCATGCTGAGGCAGCTGCTCTGCAAGAGAACGGACGCTCTGCTCATTCTTCCCTACGTTGCCATCGTCCAGGAGAAGGTAACGATCGCTTTTGTACACGCACATTTCCACACCGACACAGCAGCATAAATGCGGTTATACGAATGACTCTTTGGTTCTTTCGGTAAAGTGACGTATAAAGAGAAAATGATCAATTAAATACTAGCATACGACGTTTCAATTGCAACGCAAGCAATCGTCATCAGGTATAAATGAAATAGAAACACAAATCTAGTATACTTAGAAATGTAATGTAATACAACAGAGAGTCGGATAACATAACAGTCAACACCCTACCTGGTTGATTACGTTCTTCCTGAGAATACTAAATTTGAGAGAGAGATTAAACAGAACCAGAGACATATAGACAGACATATAAGCAGACAGATATCACAGAGATACATAGAGAGAGAGAGACGTACAAAGGCACACAGAGAAACCACGTCTCTGTGTCGAGGCCTATGTTTTGTCTCTATGTAAAGTCCTCCAAGATAAGTCAACTGAGGCAGCCGGGAATTTGGAAGTCTCGTTGAAATATTTCCGTCTTGGCTTAGGAACAGATACTCGGATGCAGAGTACAATCTCGGGTTCATCAATTATTCCCACACGACACACAATTGTGATGTGTCGCCGCTGCTACTGCTGCTGCTGCTACTGTCGGGGTCGCTAGCCCCCGAGATCCCTCCCTCGATGATGCTTACGGCCGGGCTAACCTCATCAATCGCCCCCCCGCTGCTGAGCGAACCGCTGCTAGGTTCCTCACCCATGGTGTGGGAGCCGTCGCCCGAGGATTCCCCTCCCCCGCGGGTCCGCGTAGTAGGCATGGTTGGATACCGCGTAGTATTATGTCCCCCTTTACGCTACCACGATACCTCCCTTTCCTAATCGCGTACCTGCGACCCACACGGAGCGAACGTACGCACACACACACACCGCTCCGTGCACTCCAACTCCACACTGACTACTCGCGTTATGATCGTGCACCTGTATCACACACGGAGTGAACACACGCGACACCTACTCTCGCACCGCTCTGCGCAGCGCTCCCCCGAGGCGAGCCGCAGCACTACAGAACCACTGCGTACACACGCTCACCCACGCGCTCACACTGCACGACAAGATCACGCGAGACCACGCTTCGCTATTAATGATTTATTATCCGCTACCTGGAACTAGATGTTAAATCAGTGAGTCGACGAGGCTGGCCTACGCTGATACCTCTATACCTATTCCCCATTTATCTGCTATGATTCTAATTCACCTTCTTACTCACTGTTAAGTGTCCACGGCGGTCCGCTGATCCTTGTGCTAACCGCGTGCCTCGGTGCGTCGCACGGACGTCCGGGTCGCTGGCTCGAGCTGCGTCTGGTCGCCTGGCGCTGGAGTAAGAGAGCGATTTCCCCTCTGCGCCCCTCTATTTATCCTCCCTACCTCAAAGGGGATGCTGCGCTGAACAATGGGCTCGCGCACCTCGAGCCCGCGCACGGCGGTTCCGGGCGCTTTTGATCTGCTAATCAGTGAGCGGCGTTGGCGGCGTACATCCTAATTAATCCCTTACCCTTCCTAACAATGGGGCCTGCGCGCTCAAGCGTAATTATCCCAACCCTCCATGACTATGCGCAACAGCTCCTGCGGTCCCGCTATTCATGCTGTCCCGTCCCTCCCCTGCTTGCCCCGTCGACCCGTGGGGGTGTGTGGGGGGAAATGCGCCTCAACCGCGGTGGCCGAATGCCCCATGCCGCGACCACACCATATTAAGGCTGGTCGCAGCGCCGCGGCGCAACGTAGCACGGGGGGGTCGTCCAATTCCCTGATCGCCGGAAACCGTGAGAGTTAACCCCGATAAGGGTTTTTCGGATAAAAACCGGTCGGCCAGGTGACCTCCCCTCGGAGCTCTATGGGGGGGGGGGGGAAATGCGTGCGGGTGTGTTCGTGTGAGGTGAGGTGAGGGGGACGCGGGGTTGGCTCCGTTGCTTGGTGGTGGCGAGGTCGGGGATTTGGGCGCCTGCCGAACGGCTTCATGGCGGCGGCATCACACTACTACTGCTGCTACTACTGCTGCTGCTGCTGCTCGAACAGGTGCGGAGCCTGTCTGTGTTTGGTGTGGAGCTTGAAATCTTCATAGAGGAATACGCGGGAAGCAAGGGGCGCATGCCACCGCGAAAACACCGAAAGAAGAATTCTCTCTACATCGCCACCATTGAGAAAGCCCACAGCCTGGTCAACGCCCTTCTAGAGGAGGGGCGCATGAAGGAGATTGGCCTGATCGTTGTGGATGAGGTATGCGGCATTCATTATTTAATTACAGAGAATAATTGGCATCCTGCAAATGTCATTACAAATGTTACGTATTAATGTTCATCATCGTCATAATCAGCC